GTTGGGGAGGGGGGGGGGGGGTATTTTATTGAAAGAAGTCATACAATTAAAGGATTTTAATTGTAATTGTAATCTAAACTATTTTGCAAATAACACTTTCTAAAATATTTAAAATATATTCTGCACACATTTCATCTAACACCTAATGTGCCAAAAAACTTCATTAACGTTTCAATTATGTTCAATTAAGAATTACATGAATCATATAAATGCTAGGCTTTATTTTCAATTCAAAACATCTGACATAAAAGTCAAGTAGTCAGAATAACTGGGCATTACTATTATCTGACTATTTACATTTCTATTGTAAAACAGTATATAAAATATTATATTATATGTTTAGCTATTACATAGTTCCTCACAATCTTTTTTTACAATGTGTCAAACTGTATTTCATGTTTGGATTCTTTGGACAGTAAAGCCTGTCATCTTTGATTTGATTGGCCATCTCAATCATTTTGACATTGACGAGCATTGTTAGTCCACCAAGGCTGAACAAATAGCATAAAAAGGTAACTTATAAACTTTTTTGTCATCCTAACAACAAACAAGGTGGTGCATAATGGACTGCAGCAGAGCAGCATCAACACTCTCAGAAAAAAAAGGGATAAAAGCTGTCACTAGTCCTTTCAAAAGGTACTAAATACATACAATAAAGATACTGATATGCACACTTCAGGTACTGATATGTACCTTTAAGGTACAAATACGCACCTTTTAGGGGTAAATAAGGTATAAAGGTGTACCTTTTGAAAAGGTATTGCCCCAGTGACAGCTTTTGTACCTTTTTTCTGAGTGGGAAATTTTGGGCATATCTGAGTATTTGGTGGGTGGAGGTGACCTTATCCCCTCATTTTCTGGCAGTTATGGCCCTGCAGATATGGTATCAGATAGTCATAAATGTTGTTAATGTGGTACTCCAAGTTAGGCACTTCAAAGAATGGTTATTCCATGGTATGTGTACAAAAAACAAAAGCCATGGGTGTCAAGTCCAGAAAAGGAACTTTTTTGAGAGGGTAAAAACCCATCACTTCATAATGCTACTGTACCTCCACAGACGGAGAGGATGGTGGAGTGGACAATGTTTTCCAAAATGACCACGAGAACATTCCAAAACAGACGTGGAACAGGCAAAGGAACACCACTGACAGAGAGAATATACACAAACAGTTATCAATCAATATAACTGGAAGCAAATGTCAATTAATTCAAACATTAGAACTGCATATTTTCATACAACGAATATCTAGAAGAACACAAAGACTACATACCTCTCTGCGTTGAACAGGAAAGCAGGACTGTCACAAATATGAACAAGAGTCAACACAGTCACTTATAACATCTGATAATATCTATAATATATACATAAATGAACTTTTGAATGAGTTATAGAGATTCAGAACTCTATCTGATGCTCAATGACCTTCCAAAACAAAAAGGAGACTGAGGAGTGAAACAATTTTAACCAAAAACACAGGCTTCCTACCTGGAATCACTACAATAATCTGTATGTTCTATAACAACAATGCACTTCTACTAAACCCACAAATATTGCACAGAATAGGTCAGTAATCATACAAGCTTCATTTTTCAGTTGTGTGAGTAACTATTGAGTTCTGTATTTGTTTGCAATTGTTCTGAATCAAAATGTTTTTTATTTCTTTAGATTTTCGCACTAACATTATTAGGGTTTGGGGTTGTGATGGTGAATGGCGTAATTAATTTTGAACAACTCAATTTGATTTGAAATTCATATAAAAAATTAATATACATCATTTAAGTTAACCCTTAAAACTACTTTAATCTGTAGCAGACAAACACAGCTGTCTCACATTAAAATTGAGAAAGTTACACAAAAACAAAACGTTACATGAAGTCCGGTTTCTTCACCTACATTTTGATATCAGCCTTTTTTTACACTACGAAAAATCGACGTCACTAAACACCTAACTTTAAAGATTTCGCAAAAAATATTACTTACTCCAACAGAAGTGCACGACATATGCGTAGTATGACCACATCACAACCATAATAACGATCGTAACCGGGATCCAGTAGAGAAGCCGCGCACAGCGCCGGAGGCACGCGGTCAGAAGCATCACGATGACCGTCACAAGTCTCTCTATCTCTGGACAATCTGTGACTGGAGCAACGAGTCCATAGTAATGAAGTAGAGGAATAAGAGAAACAGCGCCCCCGCAGGACAAAGCAAGTGTTTTTTTATTTCTTCTATTATTTTATTACAAACAAAACATTTGAACAGGGAAGAGTGCTCACATGTAAACACAGATTGAGCGTTCGAATTTTAAACTTGAATAAAAAAAATGAGTATTTTTAATATTTAAACAAAACGTATTAGCAACAGTCTTTTTGTATACAGGCTACTGAACCCCCATTGTGTCCAAAAGCACATACTTGTGCTGAGAACTTCTCTTCATACTCCTACTGGTTTTGAGGTAGCTAGAAACGCAGAAGTTCTCAGACACACCGTTCAATACAGCAAGGAATTAGTTTTGCTTTAAGGTTCAAATTTACGCAGTAGAAATTCTGACAGCACCACAGTTGCTTTGAGGTCTCAAAACATGTGTGCCTAAACGTCATCTTGTGAGTCTATTCAGCGGTCTAATGTTAAAACTACATTCATATTGCCGATATTTACAGCAGCTTGTTTATATCAGGCCCAACACAAACTATGCTTTAGGAGGAGAGGGGGATCGGTTTATGTGTTTGTTCTTGGAACTGAGAAAACCACATTGGGATGCTCCAGTCGAAATGTGATGTTGGAGTTGTTACAAGTGACCCAAGCAGCAGAACCTTCGGCATTGCCTTGTTTCACATGCAATGAAGTAGTTGAAGGAACACTCTTGGTTGTATAGGCGAAGTTTAGAGAAGCCAGAGCCTGCTGAGGATGAATGAGGAGAGAAAGACATTGACTGTCAGCACTGCAGAATTCTTGTTTCATACACGCACAGAAAGCTAAATGTCAGGTCAGAGGTGAAAACTCATTTTACCTGTAGTGCCTGGTTGGTGTTTCTGGGGGTGAGTTCATTGGAGTTCTGTACAGAGGCCTGAAAGAGACAAGTCATGAATAGGCTAGTGTGCATGAGGTGTCATGCAGGAATAGAAACGTTTCCACAAAGCTGGAAGCACAGCAGCGTCCAAAATGTCTTGGTACACTGAAGAATTTCATATTTCTCTTCACTGATAGTAAAGGGCTTAACTATACAATTTTCTCTCCTCCATTAAACTTTATAGTTGGCACGATGCAGTCAGGCAGGTAACATTCTCCTGGCATATATATATTATTTATTATATTCATTTGTAAGTCGCTTTTAAGAGTCTGCTAAATTACTAAATGTAAATAATATATATATAAGTGGGTTTTAGGCATCAAGTAGCACGTTTGCGATGTGTACCACCTGAGGGCGCTCCATAACACACTTTGAAAACCACTGATTTAAGATTTGCCGTGCGTACCTTTTCTGCACGGTATTCATCCCAGGCTGCTCTGCGCTCTTCCTCGCTCAGCTCCTCTTCCTCCCGGTGGTCTAACAATGAGTTGTGCTCATGATAACTTACTATGAGCTGCCCACAGCTCTGCAGCAGCTGAGCCAACATGTCATCCTGGAAGACAAAAGCTTACAGTCATCTGTGTGTCTGTTTGCTGTCTGTACCATAGCAGAGGCATTTATGTGTGCTTACCACAGGCGTTTCCGTGTGTTCACTGGGCCGTAGGTCTGGCTGGAAGTGGTACAGCTCATTCAGCTGACTGTGTGTGAAGTGTCTCTGAATCTGCTGCTGGTCCAGAACACGAGAGGACAGTGACTGTTTTGCAACTTGCCGCTCATAAATGTTCTGTTCCATGGTCCCCTACCCCCCCCCCCCCAAAAAAAGGCC